CTACTACTAGTACTAGTAGTACTAGTCTTGCTATACTTCATGGAAAAGCACTGGAAGGCAGAGGTGCATGGCATGTTGGACAAAGCACCGCCTGCGGTGCTGCATGAGAAGCACTGGAAGCAGTGCTGCATGGCTTGTGCGACATGGCACAGGTTCGTGTGCTGCATGCGAAGCACTGCAAGCATTGCTGCATGCCATGTTGTACCAAGCACTCTTGTGCTGCATGGAAAGCACTGCAGGCAGTGCTGCATGGCATGCAAACAGACATGAACCCATCTTGCTTATCATGGCTTTGGGCGGCTCCGGGCTGGGTCTTTCATGGTATCTCGGTGGCTTCGGGTTTCGTGGGCTTGGGTGCCGTTGGGCTCGGGCTTTTCCTGGGCTCATCGTGGCTTTGGGCTGGGGCTGTTGATGGCTTTGTGTGGCTGAGGGCTTGGGCTTTATTTGGATTGGGTGGGTTCAGTTTTTCTGGGGCTTCGGCTAATAATGGCTTGGGGCTGCCTTGTTAGCGCTTTCGAGGGCTCCTGGCCGGGGCTTTCATTGGTCTTGGGCGGCTTCGGCTGTGGCTGCTGTTTGTGGCTCGGTTGCTTTTGGCTGTGGTTTTTATCACTAGATGATAGGAATGGATGAAACCTCACTGAAGTTACCTATAAACAACTCTTAGGATGACCATAACTGCAAGTTGTTCAAAAACAACTTCCTGCTCCTTATATGATACGGCAGTTGCTTAGGGACATCTTTGCTCACCACAAAAGCAGATCACAGATGTCTCTGGACAACTGTGGAACCTGGATTCATGGATCAGAGTTGCTTATGGGTATCTTTGTTCAGGATGATGATCTAGAAGATGTTTATAAGCAACTTTGGTGGTGAAAGCTAGTGAAGGCTGGTTTGTAACAGGATCCTAAATAAGACCTTCTGGGGGATAGGGTGGACTGGGGGTCTGTGTGTTCCAGCACAAGGTTCTGGAAGGGTCTTGTGTTGTTGTGTGCTTCTCTCTTGGTTTTTTTATTGGGTTCCCTGGGTGTAAGCAGCTCGGGTGGGGACCTAGGTTTCCTATCCCAAACCTATAGAGCCGAACCCCAATGCCGAACACTCTTTTTTCCACATCCCAACTCCTCTTCATAGTTCTGGTGCCAAGGACCCCCTTAATAGTTGTATTGGGGGTCCTGCCCGTGGCGAGACAAGTAGCCCAGGTGGTCCTCCAAGCGGGATCTGAAGGTGGGATCGCCGTTGAAGACACGGGTCAAGTGGTCCAGCCTCTCAAAGGACTTTGTCTCCCATGCGGCTGCAATGGCCACGGCCCTGCAGAGCCACCCCGACTGCAGTTTCGTGGACCTCCTCTCGTCCATGTACCGCTGGCTCGCCTCTGAGCTGGACGCCGCCTCCGTCACGGTCGCCTTCTCCCGCTTGGCTGGTGCTGCTGGTGGCTCGTTCACACCGTGCATCTCCAGGAAGCTCCGCTTCGAGCCACTCGGCTGCGGCGGCGGAGGCATCTTCCATGGGAAATCTCGGGGAGCTGCAGCCAGCACTGGCGAGGAAGCCTTGCNNTGTCGTCGTCGGCACACTCGTCAGCTTTGGCCACGGCACCGTCCCGGGCTCTGGCACCGCCTCTTCGGCTGCCACTGCAGCCACTGCAGCCGAAGCCTTGCCACCGGTCTCACCTGTCTCCTCCATGACAGCTTCAGACCTGACAGCTCGTGCCAGTGCAGCTGTCGGCAGCAACTCCGGTGGCACTGTCACCAACAGGTCCGGTGCCACTGCAGCCAGAGCCGCAAAGTCTGCCGCCGTTGCAGCTCCAACCGCCTCCTGCGGCTCTTCCTGCTTCATGCTGTCCTGATTGGCGCTTTATGGGATTTTCCGGGATACAAGGGTGGTGTCTTTAATGCAAACCCAGGCAAGTCCAAACTTCTGCTGGGAACAATCAAGAGTCTGGCCCGACACCCGGCCACACGTAGTCCGATCCATCCGGACCCGTGCTGCTGGTAGCCGGCACTCCTGGGGAAACCGAGGTTTGGGCTTGTTCTCTGGACTTAAGGAAACTCATCAGGAAAGCCCTGCAAGCAGGACTGCATCTCATCAAGCATGCTGCATGAAAGCCCTGCAAAGCAGGACTGCATCTCATCATGCATGCTGCATGAAAACAAAACCACTGCACACATACATGCCAACCATCAACCCTCCGAATCCTCCCCACCCCAAACCCCAAACCCCGAACCCTGAACCCTAAACCATAAGCCCCTGAACCCCAAACCCC